CTTCCAGATAGACAATGCGACATTCTTATAACCGATATATTTACCTCCAGATAGACAACTCTACATTCTTATAACCGATAGATTACCCTCCAGATAGACAATGCGACATTCTTATAACCGATAGATTTACTTCCAGATAGACAATGCGACATTCTTATAACCGATAGATTAGCCTCCAGATAGACAATGCGACATTATTGTAACTGACAGACTACACTCACTGCAATTTGCCTTCTTCAGGTCTGCAGTCTGCAAGATTACCATCTGCTAAACCCGTTCTACCTAACGTTATACTGGGGTCTCCGACGGTTACCGAGCAACTTGAAGCCCGAACCACGCAGGGATGGTTAACACTTCCTCTCAGGTCAGAGAACTCAACAATCCAACAACTAATACACTGTCTCTCTGGACAGAGAATTCAACAATCCAACAACTGATACACTGCCTCTCTGGACAGAGAATTCAACAATCCAACAACTAATACACTGTCTCTCTGGACAGAGAACTCAACCATCCAACAACTGATACACTGTCTCTCTGGACAGAGAACTCAACCATCCAACAACTAATACACTGACTCTCTGGACAGAGAATTCAACAATCCAACAACTAATACACTGCCTCTCTGGACAGAGAATTCAACAATCCAACAACTAATACACTGTCTCTCTAGACAGAGAATTCAACAATCCAACAACTGATTCACTGCCTCTCTGGACAGAGAATTCAACAATCCAACAACTAATACACTGTCTCTCTGGACAGAGAATTCAACAATCCAACAACTGATACACTGCCTCTCTGAACAGGGAACTCAACAATCCAACAACTAATACACTGTCTCTCTGGACAGAGAATTCAACAATCCAACAACTAATACACTGTCTCTCTGGACAGAGAATTCAACAATCCAACAACTGATACACTGCCTCTCTGGACAGAGAACTCAACAATCCAACAACTAATACACTGTCTCTCTGGACAGAGAACTCAACAATCCAACAACTAATACACTGTCTCTCTGGACAGAGAATTCAACAATCCAACAACTGATACTGCCTCTCTGGACAGAGAACTCAACAATCCAACAACTAATACACTGTCTCTCTGGACAGAGAATTCAACAATCCAACAACTAACACACTGCCTCTCTGGACAGGGAACTCAACAATCCAACAACTGATACACTGTCTCTCTGGACAGAGAACTCAACAATCCAACAACTAATACACTGTCTCTCTGGACAGAGAACTCAACAATCCAACAACTAATACACTGTCTCTCTGGACAGGGAACTCAACAATCCAACAACTGATACACTGCCTCTCTGGACTGGGAACTCAACAATCCAACAACTGATACACTGTCTCTCTGGACAGGGAACTCAACAATCCAACAACTAATACACTGTCTCTCTGGATAGAGAACTCAACAATCCAACAACTAATACACTGACCTCTCTGGACAGAGAATTCAACAATCTAACAACTAATACACTGCCCTGGAGGTCAGTCAGTCGGCATTCTTACACCAGAAGCCTTCCACAGCGACAAAACCGCCCCGTCAAACACGGTAACGCCAGGTTCGGCGTCCCCAACACTTCGACTACACACAACCCGTCTGACAAGCACGACCTACATTCGTACACCTACCCGCTAGTGACAGTGAGGTTTCATTGCCGTCACCTACCTAGCCGGCGAACTTTCGTGTCGCCATCTACCTGGGGATAGATATGTCAGTGGCTGACAGACGAGCCCTAGCGGCTCAACGGACCGGAGTTACATCCATCAGGTATGGAGAATGGAAGTGACACACAGAGCACCTGTATACAGTACTGGTGGCTTCATTCTATGGCTATAGATTTCATCTTCTTCTTATCTTAACGTTTAACCGGCTGTAATCTCTTCCAGAAAGCTTTGGCTGTTCGTCTATTTTTGGACTCTGGCCTCGTTTCAGAAACTGAGTTTTGCGTGCACATCCGTTTTACAAATCTACTTATTTGTGTGCAGACTGCTGATTCCACGCCTCTCATGCAGATATGATCCACCTTCAATAAAATCATCTTCTTGCCAAGTGGCGTAGGCGCTCAGGCATCTCCACATATCACGATCGTGGTTGGCTGGAACAGCTCTCTTGGTGACATCCTTCTATGCCATCATTTCAGCCCATCCAGCATCATCTCTCTCTCTCTCCCCCTCTCTCTCTCTCTCTCTCTCTCTCTCTCTCTCTCTCTCTCTCTCTCTCTCTCTCTCTCTCTCTCTCTCTCTCTCTCACTCACTCTCTGCTACCCCTCTTTCCAGTCGGCACGATGTTTTCTAGCGCCTCTCTTCTCATTATGTGGCCAAAGAACAGTCTATGTCTCCTTCTTATTGTTGTAGATAGACATCTAGCTTTATTAGCTTCTTTCAAACAATCGTTATTAGTTACTTTTCAAACGAAACACTTCATAAGTACGGCCATTTATGACATGCTTTCTTTTTGGGGGAGGCAGTGGGTCTATTCCTTTCTCCAGAATGGGGGTCCCGGAACCCATATCGAAAGTTACTGATTGGAGACTTAACATTAAAGCACAGCGGGCATATCTACAGATACTCCCTCTTCCCCCAGCAAATGTCTAAAGATCTAGCTGTTGACTATTCAAGTGCAAACTCTGTACTCTTCCTTTCGCTTATCCTTTCCTAGGTATTCACAATAATCCCCACATTCACACAATCTTACCCCACATTCACACAATCTTACCCCACATTCACACAATCTTACCCCACATTCACACAATCTTACAAGTGTTATTTTACCTAGCCGTGCCTCTCCCATCAGATCCACTCATAAATAATCGTCATGGTCATCTTTTTCCTCGCGTTCACCAGCTGTAAACTTCACCAGCTGTAAACTCCGGCGGAAAGTTTTGGGTGTTCATCCACTTCTGGACTTCTGTCCTGTTCCAGAACCTGATTTCAGGCAGAAGCACTCCGACTTCGAAAGAAGCTCCCAATTAGTCAACTCTTACGACATGCTTTTGGGTACACAGTGGCTCTATTCTTGTTTTTCCCCCCACAAGCAAACCTTTCCTCATCACAACGCTTTACAGTTGATGATGATCATGTATGATGATGGCGATGATGATGATGGCGATGATGATGATGTACTTTATACAATACAGATGGAGAGTCAGACACTGGTTACTCTAGTCCAGTGATCTCCAACCTGGAAGGCGTGAGGAAGTTTCATCGGGAGCCTCAAGGATTTTGAAACTTTTTTCTACATGTAATAATCTGGATTTTCAGCTTTAACAGTCATGAAAACAAAACAGCGCTGCCAGCTTGATGAGGACGGTGATCTCTGTTGTGCTTTGTCCAACATCAGAATTTAAAAAAAATAGGCGATATCATCCAGACACAACAGTGTCAACCATCATACTGACATCTTCATCATCAATTCTCGTTATGCCTAGTGAAACATGAGACTTCAGAGAGGACTTTCCATGCTTTCCTGTCCTGTGCAATCCTCAGTGCAGTTTTCCATGTCAAAGATGCCGCACTCAGGTCACTCTCCATCATTCGTCTCCATGTTGTTTTTGGGCGCCCCTTTTTTCTCTTTCCCTCTGGTGTCCATGTGAGAGCTGTTTTAGCAGGCATATTAGGATTCATTCTCATAACCTTGCAAAGCCATTTCCATCTTCTCTTGGTTATCATACTCTCTAGAGTTTCTTGGTTTGTGTCTTGAAGTAGTTTAGTATTTGAAACCTTGAACTATGTGCGTGTTTTTCTCCAAGTTCTTGCTAACAGTACTTGTGATTTTTCTTTTTGTCCTTGTGTGTGTGTGTGTGGGGGGGGGGGGGGGGGGTTAGGGGGTCTTGCCATTTACTCAAAGGGGCGCCACCATTTCAGAGCTGCATAGACTGCCTCCGTCTCAATCCTCATGTCCGAAGCTGTAGCCAAGCGGACTTAAAAGTCTTGATTCCACCCATGCGAAATACTAGTTGGAGAGTCAAAGTCATTGCACAGGTACATGGCTCGAAAGCTTGACGTAAGACGTCAATGAGTAAGACCAACTTCACACCCAACATACAGTATATGTACATATACAAGCTATGTGACGAAGGAGGCGGGCTGCACAATGGCTCGATGTTTGCCTGTTGCCCTGGATATATATATATAAACCACCCACCCCCACCCCCACAAACACACACACAAACAGAGAGAGATTGAGAGAGAGAGAGAGAGTGAAAGAGAGAGAGAGATACACTGGGTTCCAAGGATGCTGCCGCCTTGAAATGGTATCAGAAAATGTCATGGGTGGTAAATGCGGCCACTGTGATATTTGGCAGATCACTATAGAGTGTGGGCTGGTCTGTAAATAGTACGAGGCAGGGGCCATAATCCATTAGCTGCTGCTGATTTTTTTTATTCTTCTTTCTTTCTTGCTTGCTTTATTTTTTTCTTCTGCTATATGCCATCGCTTCTACCCTGATCAAACTGCTTATTATGAACTCAATGAGGAGAACAGCAGTTTGTTTTAAGAGTGAACCACAAAAGCACAAATGAGAAACAATAAAACAATACACAGATATAAACACAACCACACGAAACAAACAATAAAACAATACACAGATATAAACACAACTACACGAAACAAACAATAAAACAATACACAGATATAAACACAACCCCACGAAACAAACAATAAAACAATACACAGATGTAAACACAACTACACGAAACAAACAATAAAACAATACACAGATATAAACACAACTACACGAAACAAACAATAAAACAATACACAGATATAAACACAACCACACGAAACAAACAATAAAACAATACACAGATATAAACACAACCACACGAAACAAACAATAAAACAATACCTAAAGATGAACACAAATAAACAAACTGAAACAATGAAACAACAAAAGATGATAAACGACAATAAAGAAACAGAAACAGTAAATAAAGACAAGACAACTAAGGAAACCATTGAGAAAAAAAGCCACTCACCAATTCTGGGTGGCTGTTCGGGAGGCCCTTCTGGCTCCTTGATGACGCCTTTGCGGATGAGTTCATCGCGAGAAGTGCGCATGGAGATCTTCCGCTCAATTTCTGCAAGAGAACGTCACATGTATCACAGCCTGGAAGTGAGCAGGCCCTGAACCTACCGGACATCTTTCTAGAACAGACATGTCATACTGAGGCTTCCCCGAGGGCTGTATGGGTCACATATGTGTTGTCACGAGGGCCACACACACGACAACTACTTGAAATCATTTTTTTTTTAGAAAACGTATTGTTTGCAAAGGACTGCATGAGGCATACAGGCTGGCATGTTTGGCATGCCTAACATAGAGAACAGTCTTCAGGTTGGCGACACAAGTAGGATGCGAGAGGCAGATTAGGTATGATAGGATACTGCACACACAGGATGGGAGAAGCAAACAGAGGTAGGAAAAAAGAAAGCAGACACAGCCAGGATGGGAGAAGCAGGCACATGCAGGATGGAGAGGCACACACGGGTAGGATGGGAGAGGCAGATTATGTATGATGGATACTGCAGACACATTATGAGAAAAGCAGGCAGAGGTCGGGAAAGAGAAAGCAGACACAGTCAGGATGGCAGAGGCCTACACCATGAGAAGTGACAGGGATACAGAGAGTGTAGGAGATAGCCATGTGCATTTGGGAGAGGGGGAGAGACAGGTTCGGATAGAGGATGAATGGGGGAGAGGGTTGGAGAGTAAGGCAACAGACTTATGAACTGGGAAGAGAATGGAGACAAGTGGACAGGAAAGCAAAGACAAAGTTGCTGAGAGGCAGAAAGAAATAAAAACAAAGGGAAGCGGGGGGGGGGGGGGGGGAGGGAGACAGAGTGATAGAGTAATAAAGTCGCTGAGATGCAAAGAAAAACAAAGACATAGACAGGCTGGAAAAAAAAGTTGAAGTATGGAGAAATAAAAATACAGAGTGATATACAGACACAGAGAACAAATCAGTGGTAAAGTAACAGACAGGGTGAAATAAAAATACAGACATGCTGAAAACCAGCAAAAGAATAAGCCTGGAGAAACAGTCAGCAGTATGCTGAAAGAAACACAGTCATCAATCAGTGTGATGCTGGAACAAACAAAGTCACCAGTCAACAGGATGCTGGAACAAACAAAGTCACCAGTCAGTGTGATGCTGGAACAAACAAAGTAATCAGTCAGTGGGATGCTGGAACAAATAAAGTCACCAGTCAGCGGGATGCTGGAAGAAACAAAGTCACCAGTCAGTGGGATGCTGGAAGAAACAAAGTCATCAGTCAGTGTGATGCTGGAACAAACAAAGTCACCCCGAAGAAGAGATATAAAGTTACTCACCGTTAGCCGTCTTTTCAAACCGCTCGCTCTTCTTCTTGCGCTTCCACTTCCAAGGACGGAAAAACCTGCCAAGACTGGACAGCTTGCTCTTCCTCTCCGCCATGGGGCTAGAGCTCGCCTGCACGGACTTGGAGTCTCCATTCTTGCGAACATCTAGGGGGGTCACAGACAGGGGAACCAATGTCAGCGAGTCGACCATTACATGGCACCACAAACACAGTACATCCAACAACTGGACAACACTTCTTCTTCTTCTTTGCGTTCACCGGCTGTAAACTCTAGCGTAAAAGTTCTGGTTGATCGTCCACTTTTAGACTTTACTCTTGTCCCAGAACCTGAGTGTTGCGTGCACGTTAATTTTAGAAATCTCCCATATATGTATGCAGACTGTTGGTTCACTGTCTCTGACATTTGCACTCCGACTTCGAAGGAAGCTCTAATTAGTCGACCCCGACGGCATGCTACTTTGGGGTCTATATTCTGGTTTCTTTCCCACACTGGATGACAAGAGAGTAGTTGGCGTCTACCAGACAGCAGGTGCCCAAGTATGCAGCACAAGACATCCAAGCATCTGTGATGCTTTTAGTTGTGAGTTTCATTTTAGGGCCTCACAATCTGAGAGGCCTCGACAATTCATATTCGAATGGTATAATCAATGATTTTACATTTGGGTAGTCGAGAGAAAAAAAAATGCCTTAAGTTGTAACTTCGAGTCTTTTAGAAGATTACATAATTTATGTGTCTAATTTCGCTAATCAGTTAAAGGTTTTCATACGTCTTGAGGAGAGCAGCAACAATCACCGTGTAAACAGCAACAGATACTCAAAGGCAGAACAGACGTTGGTATACGACAAAGCATAAGTAATAATCAACATGTATTCAAAAAATAGCCGACACACACGAAATCCGTTAATGGATTAAACAAATCAGTTAATACACACATAAATCAAATAATATACATCAAATCAATTAATACTCAAATCTAGCAGATGCATAAGAACATAAGAAATTAATATAAGAAATAACCAGATGCAGGAAAGGCACTCCATAACAATGGAGAAGACGAGTACTGGGACATTTGGCGGGAAGTGGAGAAATGGAGAAGCAGAAGTGTAGATGCTAGTTTAGCATCATGGCATGGAGGAATTTATGTTTCAAAGCCGAGTGACAGTCCGCGAGTCAGAAGGCTGTGAACTACATAATGACTAACGATGTACAGTGCTAGTGCACATATGATGTGTGCAAGATATGGCTAAGTAGAAATAAGGAGGGACATAGGGCGTTCTCATACACACATGCCGTGATTGTAACGGACTCACAAAGCAGGTTAAGAAAGCTGGAAACAGACATGGTACAACAGGAAGTGGCAAGGGTATCTGGTCGCACTCTACACCCAGAGGAAAGGCAGGACGGACATATTATCAAACTGTCACTGGCACGGTCTTCGAGCACACCTGTACAGGATAGGCATAAAAGAATCTGCTGCCTGTGATTGTGGAGCCACATTGCAAGAGAAACTATGGGCAACCGGTGGCGACCTTAAACGCACAATCCTATTTGTGACCCAGAGGGGACTCAATGTGTAGCATGACTGATGTCGAACGCAGAAGAAGAAGAAGAAGAAGAAGAAGAAGACGAAGACGAAGACGAAGACGAAGAAAGAAGAAGAAGAAGAAGAAGAAGAAGAAGAAGAAGAAGAAGAAGAAGAAGAAGAAGAAGAAGAAGAAGAAGAAGAAGAAAAGAAGAAGAAGAAAAAGAAGAAGAAGAAGAAGAAGAAGAAGATGATAAATAAAGAAGAAGAAGAAGAAGAGAAGAAGAAGAAGAAGAAGAAGAAGAAGAAGAAGAAGAAGAAGAAGAAGAAGAAGAAGAAGAAGAAAGAAGAAGAAGAAGAAGAAGAAGAAGAAGAAGAAGAAGAAGAAGAAGAAGAAGAAGAAGAAGAAGAAGAAGAAAGAAGAAGAAGAAGAAGAAGAAGAAGAAGAAGAAGAAGAAGAAGAAGAAGAAGAAAGAAGAAGAAAGAAGAAGAAGAAGAAGAAAGAAGAAGAAGAAGAAGAAGAAGAAGAAGAAGAAGAAGAAGAAGAAGAAGAGAAGAAGAAGAAGAAGAAGAAGAAGAAGAAGAAGAAGAAGAAGAAGAAGAAGAAGAAGAAGAAGAAGAAGAAGAAGAAGAAGAAGAAGAAGAAGAAGAAGAAGAAGAAGAAGAAGAAGAAGAAGAAGAAGAAGAAGAAGAAGAAGAAGAAGAAGAAGAAGAAGAAGAAGAAGAAGAAGAAGAAGAAGAAGAAGAAGAAGAAGAAGAAGAAGAAGAAGAAGAAGAAGAAGAAGAAGAAGAAGAAGAAGAAGAAGAAGAAGAAGAAGAAGAAGAAGAAGAAGAAGAAGAAGAAGAAGAAGAAGAAGAAGAAGAAGAAGAAGAAGAAGAAGAAGAAGAAGAAGAAGAAGAAGAAGAAGAAGAAGAAGAAGAAGAAGAAGAAGAAGAAGAAGAGAAGAAGAAGAAGAAGAAGAAGAAGAAGAGAAGAAGAAGAAGAAGAAGAAGAAGAAGAAGAAGAAGAAGAAGAAGAAGAAGAAGAAGAAGAAGAAGAAGAAGAAGAAGAAGAAGGAACTCTTTGCTGGCTGCTGAAGATGGGGATGTAGCGCGACAAGAAATGTCCTAAGTGGCGTGATACCGTGTCTTAGCTGAACACTCAGCGTTCTTGATGTACACGCTATGGCTAAAAAGATGTATGGCAGGCTAAGCAGAAATACGCAGAAACAGTATGATGTTATTGGTAAACTTTGTGCAAATAATAAAATACAGACATGTCAAACTGACGTATTACACAATGTCTGTTTCATGTGCACACATATCGACTACGTCAAAAATTAGAGAATATTAAAAGCACATGTGGTGCCTACATCAAACAGCTACTATAATGGTGCCAACAACATAATGCACATTTAATGTGAATAGAATTTGGCTGTATAACGTAATGTGCGATGAGTGAACAAGATTTGACTTGAAAAGAGAGAACAAAGATACATCTTCTTGGACATTCCGAGCTCCCTAGGGTTCATTGCCGCAGACATGACTCGCTTGCTGTCATTGTTCTAACTGCCCTCTCATCACACCTAGTCATTCCCAAGTGTGTGTTTACCTTATATGACTGTTCCCCATTCCCCTTTCTCTTCTTCGTTAAAAACTCCCATTCAACTTTTTTTTTCTCTCTGTTATCTGCCATTTTCTATCATCATCATCATCAAGTGCCTTGCCGACTGGCCTGGTTATGTCGCTCCACAATCTTCGATCCGCAGCTGCGTGCATCATTTAGTATGTTTACATACCTCCATTTATGACAACAGGCAGTCTAGAATCTTCTCGCGATGTCTTCCTCTGTCTCTATTTCCACAGATCTTTCCAGTGGTCACAACATATTCAATTTTCCCTCTTCTCATAACATGACTAAAAAATTATGACTGTCACTTTCTGATGTTTGTGAAAAGTTGTATTCAAGCCATCGCCTCTTTCAAAACATCTGGCTTGCTTTTCTTAGCTGGCAAAGGAATTCTAAGGTTTCTTCTGTAAAACCACATCTCCGAGGTTCAAGATGTTGTTCGACTTGTTTATTACTTGTCTAGACTTCACAGACGTATGCTTTCATACATGTCCCGAATATCGCGGTCTAAGCCCTCCTGATTCCAGTAATCAATGGCGATTCAAACAAATTATGGATTTAGTTGTTGTTGGAGATATAATATGGATGTCCAATTATACAGTTTAGGACCAGTATTAACGTCATGCATTCATTAATTAGTGCATGCAAATAAAGGCCAATTAACATTACAACGGTCATGCAAATTAATATTAATGAAAATAAGTTACAGCATTAATGACGTAACACTGTTATGTTTAGCTGCATGCATCACAAAGAAAGAATTCAGTAAAGATGTCACACCCAGTAGCCAGGTGTGATCAATTCGCAAGTGCACGCGTTAGCACTAAACGACTACGGTGGAGAGAGTATCACATGATATTTTCCTCCTCGTCGCTTCACTGCTGAGTATGCGAGCGCAGCTAGATCAGAAGTACTATTAACTGGCAGCTTTCACATATTACAGCCTCTGCACGAGCGGCATAAGTGTGCAGCGACTGTTCTTCTCGCTATGTTTAAGGCGTTATAAATGGTAAGCAGTTAAATAGTAAAACAATGCCTCCTTTTTTTTTTTGGGGGGGGGGGGGGGGTGGAAATTGTAATCGGCGATTACCTCTCTTACAGAACGAGGGCAAATCACAATATGTTCATGTGTTACTCTTTCAAGGCTACATATTTCTGTACTCTTACAGAACGAGGGCAAATCACAATATGTTCATGTGTTACTCTTTAACTTACAGGCTACATATTTCTGTACTCTTGCAGAACCAGGGTAAATCACAATATGTTCATGAGTTACTCTTTAACTTAAAGGCGACATATTTCTGTACTCTTTCTGTCCAATTTTTATGTCATTCTGTCTCTACTGACACCATGACTTATCTCACAAAGCTCTAGCTCTCCTCTTCTTCTTCTTCGTTCTATGACAGTTTTACAGCACGGTGCCATATTTGCGTTGTTTTTGATCCAACACATCAGATGTTAGCAAACCCCTAATTGACCGACTTTTACGACAAGCTTGCAGTTAGTCTATCCCCCCCCCCCCACTTAATTTCCCCAATGATGCCCCTGAACCAGCATAGAAGGTGCAGTGTTTCATAAACTAAAATGTGTTATTTTAAGTAACAAACACTAGGACAGACAGCAATGAAGTAACAACCATCCTTGACTACAAGAATTTAGAAACAGTTCATGTTTTACTAACCAGGATAGCAAATAAAGAAGTCATCCTGACATAGTTTATGCAAAATACTACTTTGTTATTTAAAAAAAACATGTCTTGCATCATATGTCCCATGTGCGTCGTGTGTAAGGCGTCACTGCGGTGTGCCATCTGACAGCAGAGCTGCATAAAATAATCGGACTTTCTCGGCCGTTTGTTGACCGTGTTTAACCGTCCTGGTGTTGTCAGAGACTATCAGGTGTCCCTGTCTCAGGGCAACATGTTCAGTGAGTGGGCCCAGAGATACCCAGAGAAGATCATGAACTACTTACTTGCTTACACAGCTGGGATAGTTCAAACCAGTCTGCAGGGTT